CTCAATATTTGACTCACAAGTACCACGCATTATTCACAACTCACCCACTTACTCTAACATAGAGGTCAATGACATTACCTTTCCTTCATGAATCAAGTGCCCTCACACAACCAACGAGAGTAGTCCCACACAATAAAATTTAAGAACACTTAGGAACTCAAGATAGAAAGAATTCACTCACTCTCAGAAAGAACATTCATATGCCACAAAAGATGCACCATAGGCTTGCCCGTAGTGTACTACTCTACTAATCGAGCTCATTCAGTCTAGGATCAAGTAGGACTTTATTTGGTTGTAATGTAGGCTGAGGGAAGGGTAGGATGCATTTAGATATAAGAGTGACTGCACCTCCCTAAGCACTTTAATACATATACTTTAACATTCAAAACTCCATACTTATGTCAAACCATAACTCCACCTTCACATCAATATATATTAACTCCCCACTTCTTTAAGCACAATTACATCAAGAGTCACCACTATCAAATATTTTCACAGCAGTACAACTATCTTCTTTTTTTTTCTTTTTCAATTCAAGTGGCTCTTACTTTTTTTCAAAACAGTGCACCTTTCTCCTTATTTCATTAGTTCCACTCAAAAGCCAAACCAGCCACCCCACACTTTAACTTTTACAATGTTCATAACAATTCAAGTGCTCATGAGAGGTGAAAATGTTCAAATAGATGGTTAATTCAAACAAATGAGTAAGGCTTGTAATGTGGTTGCCAAAGAAACAGGATTACAGGCTCAAAGAGGTTAAATATGATACATAATAATTAGGCGGGTAAAATATTTATATGGCTCAACAAAGAAACGCCTATATCACTTCCAAGACTGAACAAAACTACTATTTCGCTTTGCAAACACACGGGGCAAGTTCTAGACATCGAATGCAATGCACAGAATAACACAAAACCTTACACACACATGGAAAATAACTCACTCAGGATTGGACTCATCAAGACACTCTAGTCAAAAAAGTTAAGCAAAGATAAGATCATACAATTTAAGGTACTTATACAAGAGTCAAAAATTGAGCCTAAGCGTCACAACTAAAGTACTCACTATTCTCAAGGCATGACAAAGTTAGAAGATATTGATTCAATTCAATTCACATCACCATGGCTTCTCTCCCAAAAAAAATAAAACTACCTACACCCGGTTCAAACAAAACCCTTGGAAAAGAACCGCGGCACAAAGAAAAACCAAGGGGGAATTGCTACAATATCTACAAAGAAAATCTTTTTGTCCTTTCTCTTTATACTTACATCCCTCAAGAAAACTGTCTAGGAGATCCATCGTCGGGAAAAGTCTAATTTATTTTTATTTTTATTTTTCTAAAAAAAATATTCAATTAAACTATCACAACTAAAATAGTATAGAAACTCACTCAGACAATCTCCTCACCCCACACCTAAAATTGTGCAATGTCCTCAATGCACACTGAAAATAACAAGAGGGTAAAAGAAACTCCCTCGTAGGCTAAAGGCCGAAGAATTAGCAGCTCACGGGATACTCAGACTTCTCCCGCGTATGATCCCTTGTGCGGGTACCTCACACAAAGTTTCAACCACCTGCTCGCTTTTGCACACTTCCTGTTAGCTTTGACTCCATGCTCCTACTCCTACAAAATACAAAAATAATACTACAAAATAAATAACACAATAATAAAAAATAAAAAAAATAAACAAAAGAAAAAAATAAAAAATAAAATTGGGTTGCCTCCCAACAAGCGCCTTATTTAACGTCGCGGCACGACGCCATCACTTTCACCACTTTTCCTTCCACTTTGAGATATGAATTGCGCCCCCAGTTTTGCATCAATTTTTCTGTCACGTTCCTGGGACGGTGGTATGAAAATAAAGGAACCAAGTAAATAATATCGCATCTTGCACTTCTTGGCCTTTAAGTACGGGAGGTTGTTTTGTCTCCTTGGTGTGGCAAATTTCAGAATGTAAGGGTCTTGTTCTTCATCTATACGTCTCTCCAAAGGCTCGATCTCCATGTCTTCATCCAAACAAAATGTAGAAAAATGTGTAGAATGAGGACCAACACGCCCCAACTCCAAAACTGCATTATTTTTGACATCCTCAGTAATACATACTCCCTCAACCTCGGCATCATCAACAAAAACATGGTCTAGTGATTGGTATTCTCGTTTTAGCTCCTCAATTTGGCCTAGAAGATCTTTTTCAGTTTCACACAACTCATCACTAAATTGTTGGGCGTTACATGCATCAATCTCTGCACTCAAATCTGCCTCTAAGTCGTGAATAGAACTTCCAAATTGATCGATCTCTTGTCCCAGTTCAGCTCTTCCTTCTATAAATTGTTGCATCTCATTCATAATTTTCTCACGGAAACCTTCATATTCCTCTAATAATTTCCCGCACATATCAAGAATGCGAACATCGTGTTCTACATTATCTAATTCGTTACTCCTGTCAAACTCACAAGAATTATTAGAATCAACATAAGAAGGGATTGGAGTAGGATAACAACACTTAGGACAATTATTCCAATTTCCATCACAAATAGTACATGATGGAGATGGTGCACACAACTCGGTATTTGGAATATTTTCACAATATTGCCACAAGTGGGGTCCTTTACAATATGGACAAGGATCACAAAAACAAGAATACTTACTATCCCACCACTTTTCGTTCAAAGATGCCATATATGAAAAGAAAAAAATATAATACTAACTACACTAGACTAAAAATAAAAACTTAAATAGATAAAAAGTAAAAATCTAATCTAGTAAAATAGTTAATTTCTAAGTCCCCGGCAACGGCGCCAAAAACTTGTTGCTCCCAAACGCACACGCAAGTATACGTGGTCGACAAGTAATATAGGATAGTAAGTCCAGATATCGTACCCACAGGGACTTGTGATTAACTATCAACCAAATTAAACCAAACAATTAATCTATTCAAGCGAATCCTAAAGTATGAATATTTAACTAAAGATAATCTAGAGTAGTAAACTAAGAGATTAAAGAAAATAAGTTGGCGAATTATAGAGACGAACTTAATGTGAGTGAATATTCTAGAGCTATGGGTTAGCTAACAATCCCGTTGAGTTTTCCACCTAAATCGTCTAATTAATTTATCTGGTTTATTGATTGACAGGGTTAATATTGCTCGTAGCCTTCTCCCGAAGTACAACTCGCCTATTCAAGCTAACCTAACACCTATATTCCTATGGAATTAGGATTAACAAGAACGCATTTATAATTCCCGTATAATAACCAAGCAAGGCGATTAGGTATATTCCTATCCTAACCGCAAATCCGCTCCCCCTAAGAGTTAAGATCTTGCTCTACTCAATCTTATATGCAATCTAGAATTCCCTCTCCCGAGTTCAATCCTAGATTCGTAGATAGTATTCAATTGGTGATCAAGCAATCAAATAATTAAGCGCAAGATTGAATAAACAAACCAATATGATAAAATAATAAGAACAATTCAAGCTTCAAACTACAACGTTCATGTAGCACCCAAAACTCTAGAACTAATAAACTATAAAATTAAAGGAAGAGAAGAGAAGCAAAACTAGTTAGAAGCCTCCTCCAAGCGTGGTGTGTGTTATCACCAAAAGTGGCATCCTCTCCCGTCCAAAAATTGCTCTAAAAATGTTCTCTCATGTATATATACCAAGTAGGGTCGGGCCCAAACAATTATACCTTCTCCAATCTGAAAAAGGACACTTTTCCCGGGTGACTAGCGCGAGCTCGCGCGGTCTTCACGCACCTTTCTGCCTCGGCTTGTAATATGCGCGACTTCGCGCGTTCTTCGCACGTTTTTCACCCTGTTCCGTTTCGAATTTGGAAAAACGTAAACATGAAAGTTGTATCCCTTTGAGTTATCTTTCCAACCATATATTGTGGAGCCAAAATGGAGTTCTGAGCAAAAAGTTATATCTATTTTACTAGACAGTGCGCAATCTGCCTACTGAAGTCTTCGTTTGCTCTAACTATCCTCCGTTGACCCCCCAACATGATCCCGGCTTAATTCCTTGAACTTTTACTCAGACTTCAAAGCTCCAAATCACTTGAGTTCATTCCATAACATCTACATAGCTCGGAATCACTCCTACAAGGCATAAAACACACAGTTAGTGCAAAACACTTGCGATTAAAGCTCAAACTCAATTAAAGTGCAGTAAATTAGAGTGTAATAAGCGACTAAAATACACAATTATAGCCTATCATCAATATTATCAAATAGAAGAGTCAAGTATACGAAATGCAGTAATCCTACCCATTGTGAGAGGCATCTTCCACTTTGTAATTGAAGGGTTCCAAACCCCGCTTCGTCGCTCAGTCCCTTGCTTCTTTCCTCCTGTTTTTCCTTTCCGTCTCTTATACCAATGTGATTTATTTCCAGGTGCATATTTCAATTACATCTTCCATGATTCTTAGATCCAGAGGTAGCACTGGTCCATCAATAGCAGCATCCCTTCCTCTCGCACCTGGTCTAGTATCTCTTAGGTCGATATCCAGTAGCTCCTGTAGCAGTAGAGGGAGAAGATCGGTAGTAAAAGGTAACGAATTACAGAGTTAGAGAGAGATCAGAAGCAAAACTCGGCAAATCAAGGATAAGGCGGAACCCAGGTGCTACACTAAACTAGGCGTTACCTGGGGCCGCACGACTCAGGAAGACTCTCTACCCGTGTGCGCGCCTATTTTGCTTTAGGAGGTATCAGAGCGGAGTTTTGGGTAAAAACTTTCGATTTCTGCTAATTCTCTTCTTATTGTACCATGTACATGGCGATAGCAGTGGAGTGCTGTCAGCAGCAGCTGTTGTTACGAAAACACTGAAGGATCGAGTGACCCAACTTGATGGCAAGGTCGACCATTTGGATGGACAAGTGTAGACTATGGTAGAAAGGCAGGGGAATCTGGAATCGTTAGTCACCAGACGCTCGCCAATAAGTACCGCGTCTTCCCAGTGACGTAGAGCCGTCTTCATGGGGCCTCAATGATCCCAGTGGCGATGTCCAAGCATGATGGACCGGGTCAAATTGAGGAGCTTGCTGTGGAGATAGCTTTCCGGTTCGTGAATCGAATGTCTCACCTGGGAACTCCAGACTTGAGTCCCGGAACCACAGCCATTCAATCGGATTCGAAATGTCAAGGCTCGAAGACCTCTGGGACATGGAACAGTACTTTAAGGTTGTTCGTGCCCCTTTTGACAACCAAGGCAGAATGGTAACAATCTATCTCTCTAGGGATGCAAAGAATATTTGAAATGAATTTCGAACCATCACACGGATTCCGACCCGACTACCGTAAAAGTAGAATGGAAGGGCAAAAAACGATTCTATGTGTAGACGTGATAGCTCTATCAATAAAAAGATTCTAGCTTATTTTTATTTAGAGAGTAATGGTTCTCACGTCTGAGAACCGCCATTCACATACTATTCCTCCCCACTAAAAAGAGTGATTGAGAATGTTGAGAAGCTAAACAAAAATGCAGAAATGAGCGTACCCTAAGGCTCTCCTCTCTCCCCCTTTTTTAGCCAACACCATCAACCTCATTTTTCACTGGGTCAAAGCTTAAAATCTGATGAATAGAAGGAAAGGAGATCAGAAAGATAGGCGAATGACTTGACTATAGTATAGGTTGGATTTTTTCGTGAGCAGTAAGAAACAGATCTCCCCTTATTTTGGGAAAGCTAGTGGCCGCGTGTGAATTCTTTCAAGGCAAAGGGTGGCCTGATTCAACATTCTTGTTTACTCTAATCCGGTCGAGGTGGTTTTCGTTTACCAGCACGTAGGTGTTCTAAATTCCTATGACCGAGTCTTTCTGGCCCCTATGAACATCTTTTCTTAATGTATTAAATAGGGCCTCTCTAACCGGTGAAAAGTGGTGGGTGTCCACTAATGGCCATTCCTGGCTCGGCTCCGATAACGCAATTCCGGGAGGAGTCGATAGTTGGGCACTAGATCCCTTCTGACCTGGAGAATGTGTGACGTTGGGTCGGGGTTTGGTGAACCAACTGGTCGCTCATCTAGTTGAAGTATCGGGGCCCTTTTTCGTTGCCTAGGTTACACCTTCGGAATACCCCATAAGGGAATTTTTTTCTACTCCCCCCAATGTTGATACCCAATTTTTCCCTATAATATTTTTTCAAAATGCATATATACATCCAAAACTATGCATTAGCATCAATTAATATTTTTTCTTAATTTCTGCATTTTTTAGGGTTTTAATTAATTTATCCCAGTATTTTTATTTATATAAACAATTACTAATTGCATCACAAAGGGTTTTATAATAATTTGTGGCTTAATTTTATCATTTGTATTTGTACTAAGTCTTAGTTATTTCACAAATAGCCACATTTGCATTTTTGGGTTATAATTGCAAAAACTTTGCAATTATAACCGTTGTATGCATTATTACATTATTTTACCAGAAAATAGCTTTTTATATTTTTTAATATACTAAGTAATTGTTTTAAAACATTTCTAGGCATGAAAATCATTTTTTATAATCTGTTAATTATTTTTTATAAATTATTTTATCAATTAATTGGATATTTAACAAATAGCCCTTTTATTCCTTTTATTATTTTCGGACCTAACCCATTAAACTAGCCCAAACCCCCTTAATATACCAACCCAATTTCAACTCCAGGCCAATAACCCCGTTTAATCGTGGACTTGCCATTTTAATTCAACAGCCAACCCTACCCCCCCCCCACCCTCACTCTTTCATTTCCGCCGTCATTGGTTTCCCTAGCCTCTCCAGTTCTCTCTCAACCCAACCTAAACCCTAATCACCGTCACCGGCGAAAAGCTCCTATCTATGGAGTTTCCGTGCATTCTCCGACCACTACCAACCTTCTATAACCCCGGGCTATTTGATAACATAGATCCTTGAGAGAATCTCATGGAGATTCAACCTGGTTCTTGCCAAAATTTGTCTATAGGCCTGTCTGTGGCCTTTTTCGTTTGTGAGTATAGGTTTCCTCTTATTTTTCAGTGCGAATCCATAGTTTTTGACCGATTTTCTTTTACCTCTAATGTTTTTGAAAACCCTAGTTTTACTTATATTCGAATCTGTTCAGATCTTTGTAGATCTGAAATGATTCGAGTATTATCAGGTGTTTCCCTTGAAAATCTTTGTTTTAGTCAACTGCTTCGATTTATTTTATTCTTTCTGAAATTAGGGTTCAGACTTTTCTTCAAAGGTTTTTTTTAAAACTTTTCAGTGTTTTGACTAATTGTTCTTCACTATCTTGACTGATTCTCGTGTCTATGCTTAAACCCCCAAATGTTTCTGTTTGTGACACTGATTTCTTCGAATTTTTCCTGTTATTATGTTTATTTCTGTGAACCAGTCATATTGACTGATTCTATTTAGGAATTTGAACAATCTTTCTTGTTAAAATCAGTACTCTTTGGGATTTTTACCTGATTGATTACTATTAGGGATTCGAATAATTGTCCCGTTAAAATGAGTATTTGCTAGGATTTTTACTTGTTTCCGTATTTGTGATCTTGATTAATTATACTTGCCTTAATTAATTATCAGTACGATTTGGGATTTGACTGACTCCCTATATGGTATGGTATGGTATGGTATTGATTTCTTACCTTATTTAAACCCAAGTTCTAACCATTAACTGACTCTCCCCAATTAAAGGGGTCTTTTCCATATTTCTCTATTGGAATTGATTCTATAATCTGCTGATTGATTCTAATTGATTGAATTGTGATTTCCTTACCTTATTTCTTTTACTCCCTAAGTGCTATATATACACTCTAACTCTGCCTCTTCAAGACACAAACAATAGTTCACCAAAAACTCACACTCACACATACTTTGCTCTCATCTCTCCGCTACTTGTGCTCATTGCTTGTCTAGCCGACTGAAAGCCAAGGCTAGACTACTGAATCCTGCATACCTTTCATCTCTTATTTGCTTCCCTTAACTGGTATGTTTCTATCTCTAATGTCATTATGAGGTTGAACCTATATGATTCTTTGTTGCTCTATTCCTGTTAATGTCCACGTCTCTTCTGCACTAGTCTAATTACTTATGTACGTAATTCTATATTCTTTCCTATTTACTGCTTTGATCAGCATGCTTAAGTTTCACTCTTTCTTGTTTATTGTTTTAATCAGCATGTCACTTCTGCTTGAGTATCCAATATTGCCTTAAAACAGCTTGTTTACTTTGTGTCTAAGACTCTTGTCTTCCATGTCCTGTAACTCCAACTAGTATGGCTACTCTGTGTAATTGAATTAGTATTTTCCTTGGCCCTTTCTGTATTACTCAGCATGACTACCTCTGTATCTAGGCCTATGTCTCAGTGCGTTTAACCAACATGTTTATTGCAGTGCTTAAATCCTGTGCTTTCTTGTCTCTTGCATTAAGTTAGTATGCTTACACTATCACTAAGTATGACTGTTAGACTTGAGTGATTCATGTTTAGACCCTAAATCAGTATGTCCTAGTGAATTGTTATCTATCCCTGCCTGCTCTATGTCCCTGTTAACTAGCATGACTGCCTTTACCATGTTTCTATGTGCTCCTGATTCAGGATTCTGTGCTTCCAACCCCTGTTCCCTCTCTATGTTACTGGCTGTTTTCAGCATGATGTATGCCCACCTAGGGTTAACTAATAAACTAAATTAAAGCTGGGTAATGTGAATCTTGGGTTTGAAACTTGGTGGCTTTGTTCTGTGTGTTTTGGTTGGCTGAACCTTTTCTTAGAATGTTTCTAAACTATTTTTACCCCTAATGTTTTCACCTCTAAACTATTTTCAATTCTAAATGTTTTCACTTTCAAACTATTCTCCCTCTTGAACTGTTTTACTTCCATATTGTTTTCCTAAAGTTATTCCTACTCTGTCAAGCACTCTCACTCCTACTCTTAGAATACTTAGGATTCTGCCCCTCCAGTGTGTGTACTGCCTAGAAATCCATGAGATTCCTTTGAACTCTCGCACATTGGGGTTGGCCCTTCCACACTGCACAAAAACTACTTCTCTTTAAAAGGATCTTGGTGTGAGCATTGCCCAGGGTCCTTGAGGCCCTTGGGAACTTTGACACACCAGGATACCCTCTCTTGGACACTATGACATATGGTACTTTGGACTGTTTGAAGGCCTGGTTTTTTTT